CTTAAATATAAATATTTAGAAATCAAGAATATAGGACAGGAGTAGAGGTTTATCCCTCATTTCTCGTTTTTAAGTGAGATTCCGTTTCCTTCTAAAGTCTACATCAACTCAATAATTCTCACGTTTCCACATAAACTTTCATTTACCATTTATTTTTTCTCAATAGGAGTAGATAGGTTCGTCTGTCTTCCGATTCTCACTTCTACGCTGTTGAACGGAAGTAGAGGTCCATCCCTTGTTTCCGGTTTAGGATTGGGTCTAATTTTCTTTCACTCTCAGGAGTTTTAGTAAGGTTATCACCTTGCTTGGTGTAAACTGATAAAACATTGTTTTCATATACAATATAGACATATTGAAGGCAAGATGCACACTGCAAAAGAACGCAGACCCCACCTAGAGTCCTTAATAAATGCATGGAAGAACAGTTTTTAGGAGAGATAATAAAAAATAATTAAATGCTATGAAGGACAAAAATATACGAAGAGTTATGATTATCGACATCCTGAAAGGATACACTGCAAAGACGTATACAGGTTTGACTATCGCACGGTTAAACATGCTCGCGTTTTATGAGCAACTAGCAGCATGTCCCGGCGTTGTCCGTGCTTGATTCAAAAACCGTACGACTCATTCAGCAATCGCTATCACTTCACTTAAAATATTTTTGCCCTTCCTTGCCTTTAAAGGAGTGCTCTTTGCCGTGCTGATGTTGCTACATGCCTTATCTTGCCTATCTCCCACTGCGAATTTTTTCTAAGCCCTATACTAAACATTAAATCTGTTACGAAAAAACAACTAAACAAAATGAACACAAAACGATCAGCTTTAAAAAATTACTCGTAACTGGAAAAACCGAATGAAAAAAGAATATTAACAACAAATACTTTTTCACACCCAACACAGTTCTGCGGAATCAGAATCAACGTTGAGTTTAAGCAAGCGAATGAGCCAATTGGAGTAAAGTGCCATGCAGATTTAAATTTTTCCGACTTGTGACGAATGCAGCTATAGATTTTTTTTGCATGCTAGTTAACATTCGTGTCAGTCAGCTGTTGGCTCTCACTCTAGCCAATAGAATCCTCCTGCCTATTCGTGGCAGCCAGCTATTTGCTCTCACTCTGGCCAGTAGAAAATGGCCGCAAGCTACATGTAAACTACCGTAGAAGCATGAAAAATCGATTATTTCCACTATCGATGGGAGTTGGGAAATGCAAAGTCGGTCGTGGCCTTACCGCTAACTTGGAGCATGTGCATGTAAATTTTGGTGTAAATCCGTCGAAAATTGCGGCCGTGCATTCGTTACACACACACACACACACACACACACACACACACACACACACACACACACACACACACACATCCTGCGTTTTATAGATAGAGATTCTAGAAATTTATCCATTGTTTCCTGTTTAGGATTAGGTTTTCTGTTCCTTTTAAACTATTTTCCTTTTCTTTCCTTTCTGCAGTACCTCATGCGTCTAAGCGTCATTTTCCCCATGCTTGGCGTGAATTGATTTAAGAAAATATATTATATTTTCATATTGCTAGATTTTAAATGGAATTCAGTTGTATTGCAGTGAGATTAAAATATCAATTTACGACAGAAGTCTTCGAAATCAAATTTACATGGGAGGAATTTTTTAATTAATTACTATATTAATTTCTTATTTATCGACATTTGTGTAATTGTCTTTTATCAATTCTTACCGTTTTATTTTCATTTCGTTTTCTCTACATCTCTATTTCTCTATCTTAGAGCCATTAAACTCTCCTATGTAGCATAGAACCGTAGCCTTTTTGGTTAGGTATTACTTCTGTTTTTACGGTTCGGTATTTCCAACCACTCTTCGAAACGCTTTTGAAATCAGAGCTACCCTTCTGCTACTCTGGACGCCAACCTAGGCTAGAGATCCCAGTTAATCTTGCTATTTAACCTGTATCTGGGGAGGTGGGGGAGAATAGATGAATTCTTGCGTGAAAATAAACATAACGAAATCGTCCGAAATTTTAACTCCGACTTAACCTTTTTTGCACCGGTAACCGCTACGCTACCAGCATTGTTTTCCGTAACAGACTTTCAGGAATTCCTACCCTTTTTAATTTTCTATTCAACAAATATTTTTATGGTAACTGCTAGGATGTGCTTTTTTCCTTTGCTGAACCCGCTTCATAAATTTAAGGGAGCTACTAGATTGACAACCGCTTTACTGTTAAATTAGCTAGATTCGACCGCCATTTCTTTTTCTGGCACTTCTCGTCTTTCTACAACAACTACAATCTTCAGAAATTTAAATGCTATGTTAATCGCCATCTTCTGACTTCTTAAACCCTAGTCCTTATTTGCCCTTTGCTCTCTATTCTCAGTTTTTCTCATTCTCTTTCATTTTCACTCTCTGTAATTGATGTAATGGAATAACCAGTCACCCCTATGAATGAATACCCTTAGGCAGTAAGTACCTATAAACTCGACTGTCTACGAGAGAATCGGGGACGAAAAGAAGAAGGTGGAACAGTGTCACACTGTTCATGATTGTCAAACTCTCCACCTCGGCGGAGCGAAACCGGGACGAAGTTTCGTCTGGGGAGGTAGACAGGCCCTGAACCTGTTTATACGGGTTCGAAGGGAATATTTTTGGCCGAGCCTACGGGCTCGGAGTGTTACAGTTTTTTGTGTATATATGTAACTAGTGAGCGAGTCAAAATGACTTATTTCCCTTTATAGTCTACTAATAGAAAATTAACCAATGAGAAGCCACAGAACACTGTATCCGTCGTGTCTAAAGGCGGCCATCTTTGTTTTACCTACCGGAATGACCAGAGCCAACTTGTGAGGCGAACATGACAGACGGAAGAAGTACACTCTGCTGTGATATCCACTGCGAACCTAAAGTACACTTTCCTACAGTCTCCGAAATATTCACTGCCAACCTCTGGATTCTATACTCGAGGACGACCGTCATGAAAATGTCTAACACGGAGAACCTACAATAAACCGGACTTTTGCCACATACAACCCACGTCGGCTGGCCGTTAAATATAATGGAGAGAAGAAGGAAGAGCGAAACGACGCAAGCATGTCCGACCTTCCAACTAGTGGCACTCTCTACTAGATTGACCTGTCTCTATAACTGTAACGTATTTCATATTGTACTTGTTATGTACAATAAACCTTTCTTTTAGTATCCACATTGGTGTTATGTGTTTATTCCCTTAGCACGGAATATAACCGTAAGAGAATTGTCGCCTTCAGAGTCTGTCTATATTTCTGAGATGAGGTATTATGTATAGTATTTACATTAGTCGGACTATTGTCCTCATCTTTGTCGCCATATTTGTCACAACGTTTCGGCCGTTGTACGCTCCGGCCTTCTTCAGGTGGTTGGAATTTCGAACTGAACCCTTTATTTCGATCACTGGGGTAAACTGTTCTAGTTCCACGTGCCATGTTCATGTTCCACTGTGCCATGTGTCCTCAAGGACACATGGCACAGTGGATAAAGGCGTTGGTTAGATCCAGTGACAGACCCAAAGAAGGTGAGTTCAATTCCTGGTTAAGGCAGTGGAGAACTTTCAGAGGGAAAATTAGCAGGAGATAACTGATAACTGACATCCATCAAACATGGCACGTGGAACTAGAACAGTCTACCCCAGTGATCGAAATAAAGGGTTCAGTTCGAAATTCCAACCACCTGAAGAAGGCTGGAGCGTACAACGGCCGAAACGTTGTGACAAATATGGCGACAAAGATGAGGACAATAGTCTGACTAATGCAAATACTATAATTGTCGCCTTGTTTGGACTGAAACAATTAAAAAAATATCCATATAATATTTGAGGCCAAATTTTACATGAACGAATTTTTGAGCACTATATTTACGGTTGAAATTGTATGGCGTGATTTTATTTCTCAATGAGCGCTCGTTAACCGTTGCCCTGGTCCTTGCCTGGCTTCACCCGGCAATTTCATTTCTTTATTTAAAGCGACTAAAATTAAAAGCCAAATGACATAGATTCTAAATCGGTATTAATATTGTATACGTGATACGTAACGAAAACTGATACCTCGGCTTTTTGTATTACTGCCTCCAGCCAGGGAGACGTAGAAATAATCTGGGTTCAATTAGTCCAATAATTTCTGTAATCCAATTACGCGTCTTATTACATCAATTGCTATTCAGCGTCTACTTAATATTCAGAGATTTCCACACTCTGTGTCGCTGTGTTATGTTCCTTCTGTTTGTAGTCGTACGTAGCTCTCCACAGCTTCACTTTCATTCTCCTTTTACCGTCTATTTTTTCGGATAGATTATTCTATGCTTTCCTTAGAGTAAGTAACTTTACGTTTTCGCTAAGACAAGAATGAATGAAATTATTTTCGGAAATATTTTGTTTTAGAAAATTTTGGTCAATATATATATATATATATTTAATATGTTCCCCCAACTTAATTTTACGAAATTTCGAGAAATTAAAATATCAGCCTTTTCATATTTATATTTGTTAAATGCCGGACTGCTTGGAGAATTTAAATCCTCAATTTGTTTTTGTCAAATACGGACACCATTTACTGAACATATGCTATGAAACATAAAATGAAAAATGCAGTAAAACTATAATATTATTTAATTAGAAAAAAATAATTGTTATTATAAATAAGATATATTGAAGACAGTATTAAGAAACTTTTTTCGATGAATAATCAATCTTTAGAAAGATGTTTTTTTAATTTTAATTAGAAAAAAAATAAGTTTTAAATCTTTGAAAATTCTGTATTAATTTCAGCCGTATAGATTATATTATTATTAAGTAAAAACTATATTTAATAATCATAAATGGTAAAGTTTGATGCCAGACATCGAACCTCAAGACATTTTAAAGAATTTTAAATTTTTCATGTATATAAACATGCCCATTTTTGAAAGTATGGGCGACTATACACTATGTTACCAGAATATAAAAGCGATAAAATTTAAAGTCAGCATTCCTAAAATTCGATT